TACCGATCGGCAAGTTGCAGATTTAATAAAGGCAAAGCTGATGAAAGAGGGGAAATTTCTTGTTATTTTGGATGATGTATGGGATACTAAAATAGACTTCGAGAAATTCGGGATCCCTTCTGCAAGTGAGCTGAAGCAGGCTATGGAGAAAAGGAATGAAGAACACTCATCTGGACAAGAAGATATGCTCCGCAAGATTCTACTAACCTCAAGAGATCCGAATGTTCTCTCTGGTATGATGGAAGAGAAAGATCCGGTCTTTAAGGTACTTGAATTAGAAGATGATGAAGCATGGCATCTATTCAAGAAGATTGTTGGCAGCAAAGTTGAAAGCTCTGATCTTCAACCGACAGCTAAAGAGATCGTTAAGAAATGTCTCGGGTTGCCCGTTGCTATTGCATCAGTTGGAAAGGCCATGAAAGGTAAGACTCGGCAACATGAGTGGAAAACTGCTCTTGTGGAATTGAAAAGGCCTAATCCAGAAGGGATCTCTGCAGCTGTTTTTAAGCCTATAGAGTTGTCCTACAAGTACTTACAAGGAGATGAACTCAAGCAAACGTTCATGCTTTGTAGCTTGCTGGGCCATGACTCTTCAATCAATGACTTGTTAAAATATGGTATGGGCTTGAATTTATTTCGGAGGGTGAAAACAGTGGAAGAGACACGAGACAAAGTACTGACACTGGTTCACAGTCTCAAAATCTCTTCTTTGTTGGTTGATGGTCACAGCAATCTGCATTTCGGTATGCACGATCAGATTCGGGAGGTTGCCCTGTCAATTGCTTCTAGGGAACATGGTGTATTGGCTTTAGTAGATGAAGATGGAGGAAAAGACTGGCCAGAAAAGGAGACAATGAAAATTTTGAAGTGGATTTATTTGTCAAATGGCTATCCTGAGCTCACAAGCAATGGGTTGAACTGTCCGCAGCTCACTTTCTTTCATTTGTCTAACAAGGGTTGTTCTCTGGCAGTTCCAACTGATTTGTTCACTGGAACAGATGTGCTCAAAGTCTTATGTTTGACTAGAATTGATTTTCAGTCAATGCCCTCAGAAATTCCCCTGATCCCAACAATGCTTCGAACATTGCTTTTGGATCAATGTGTGTTTAGCGTCGAAGCACTAGGCGCCATTATGGGAAATCTGGAGAATTTAGAGGTCCTTAGCCTTGCAGGTTGTGCCATTGAAGAGTTGCCAAGAGAAATGGAGAAGCTAACCAAGCTAAAGTTGTTAGATGTGAGTGACTGCACCAAACTGAGAGTAATTCCACGACAAGTGTTAGCAAGATTGTCTAAATTGGAAGAGCTAAAAATGGGACACAGCTTTGACCAGTGGGATGATGTGGAGGGAGGAAATGCTAGGCTTGCTGATTTAGCAGAGTTGCGTATGCTCACTGCTTTAGAGGTACGTATTCCTAATTTCCAACAAACCTTGTTCCTTGAAAATTTGGAAAGGTTCAAGATTTTCATAGGGATAGTGAGCAACCCTCGGGAGCCTTGGGACCCTAGGCACAATTACTCTTGGGACAGTAACTCCTGGAACAGCTCTTTTGAAAGCTTAAAAATAATGAAGCTAAAGCTGCAGGGTGCAAGCATTAAATGTAATGACTCAGTTAAAAAGTTGTTGAAGAAGACAGAAGAACTGTATCTAGAGGCATTAAATGGTGTCGAGGGTTTAGTTGATGAGTTAGATGATGAAGGTTTTCAACATCTGAAGTGTCTCCATGTCCAAAATGCTCCGGACATTCGAGGCATCTTTAACCCGGCAAGGAGGTTGCTTCATTCCCAGGTATTTCCCATGTTGGAGGTATTGACCCTTTCCAATTTGCAAAAAATGGAGAAGATATGTCATGGTCTGACTGGAGCAGCACCTTTTAAAGTATTAAGCAAGATAACCGTTTTTCGTTGTCATCAATTGAAGAATCTGTTCTCCTTCTCCATGGCCAGACAGCTTCAACTTAAAGAAATAACAGTAGAAAATTGCCACAACATTGCAGAGATTATTGATGACGTGGAGGAGCAAGGCAACGGAAACGATATCGTTGAAGAAAGTGAAGGATGTAAGCTTGGCAACAATCTGCGGTCCTTAACATTAGCAGATCTGCCAAAACTGAATAGCTTCTTCAACGGTGGTAATTGCAGCGGCTTCTCACTTTTCAACGATAAGGTATTTCATTCATTTCTTTTATTTTATTTCAATTTTTTGTTTCTTTTTTTTTTTTTCAAAAACAAACCCTGACATTAAAAGATAAAAGCTTCGTTCTAATAAGAAACCCACATCCCCAATCACCCGAACACTCTTAATTCCGTTTTAGATTCCGCCCCCTCTCCTCATCCCTATCTTCTAACTCTAACAACCTAGACTCAACCTCCTCTTCATTGCCTTGCATTTCAATACCCAACCTTTTCCCCACTCTCATCATCTTCCTCACCTCATGCAAATTAAGTTCTCTTTGAATTACCTGGTTTATGTGCATAATACATCCATCAGAAAGAGACATGCTGCCAACCCGCTCCACTGTTTCCGTTGCAGCCTTTCGAGCCATCTCTCTTCTCCCTTGCCGTAGCTTTGTTCTTGCTGTCACCAACTGCCCCCCCCTCCGCCCAGATTTCTGCTAGCTCCTTCGGGTAACACTCTTCTATTTTCCTGTGCCTTTTACCCATCAAATCCCCTCTATCAATCTCCCGGACAGATGCTAGCTGTCCCACATTATCATCATCGGGCCTATTTTCTTTACTGTTCCCGACCATCCCACTTGGGTTGGCTACCAGCCCATCATACTCCTTCAGCCCATCACACTTATCCACTACCGGCCCACAATCCATAAATAATCCATGTTCGTCATCAACCCGAGAAATTACCTTGCACTCCAAATTGAAACCACTGTTACCATCGTTTTCGGCTGTTTTGTTTAAATTCAAAAAGCCTTCCTTCCTTGACTGCATATCCTCAATACTATCAACTTCATCGTTTTCTCCTTCTTGTTGTCTTATATATCAAAAAATTGAATGACAAGCTTTTCTTAGTAAAAGAATTGCATGTTTTGCAGGTTGTGTTTTCAAATTTGGTGGAATTGAAGTTGTTTGGGATTAAAATAAATCAGTCGTGGATAACATCTTCCTACACTGTGACTTCTCAAGAAATCTTGAATTTTAAAAAGCTTAAAAGACTACGAATTTCTGATTGTAGCAGCTTAGAATACCTTTTTACCCCTTTCATGGTATCAGGTCTTGGGCACCTCGAGAACTTGGATGTATCATACTGTGGAGATTTGAAACAAGTGATTATGGTAAAAGGAGTTGAGGAGGTAGTGAACACAGAGTTGATATTCCCATGGCTAAACTCCATTAAGCTATCTTATTGTGACAAGTTGTCAAGTTTCTATGCTGGAAGTTTTGCACTCAAGTTCCAATCGGCCATAAAAATTGGGATACACAGGTGTCCAAACATGATTACATTTGCTTCTACATTTTCAACAGAGCAAGAGAAAGAGACAGCTTATCGAGAAACTGAGGGACACCTTGAAAAGAAAGAACATGATATTCGGAGTCGGACTATATTATTTGATACGGTCAGTTTTTTCTTCACAAATTTAACATTTAAAGCAGTTTTAATTATCGTCACTCACATACTATAATTTCCACTTCTTCGCAACAT